CTAGCAAGGAGATCGGGCTGAAACTATAGCTACAAGCTATCCAAGGATGGTACTATAGAATGTCACCTCAAGGTAGGCCTAGTGGCGTCATCTCTTGGTTAGGCCGGAAACTTATCAATCCACCCTCGTATTTCGTATAGTAATAAAAACCACTAAGTATACCCAACAAAATTAAAAAATGAAGAATTAAAACGTTATTGTTAAGGTATGCGAGGTCAACAAAGAATACCTATCATTTATAGATTCCCAAGAAATCTAAATGCTCATAATTTTAACATTAAATTATCCATTATGCTAAAACAGCGATAACTGTCTCATCTGAATTTTACTAGAATAGGACATCGCTACCTTTATTTGAAATGTAAATTAGAAAAAAAAAGAACAATAACAGTTTTAATGGAATAAATGGTATTTTACGAAAACTTCTCGTATTGTATCCTCATAATTTCAACAATCAACAAGATCAGCATTTAAAATAAAAACGTAATTAAAATCGATTTTAGAACGGCTGCTCTAATAATCTTTTGTCTGTATGAGGCTAATACTAGTCTAAAAATGTGTTAATATCATCTTAAAAATTCAGAATTCATTATTTTTTAACATAAATCACCTTAATGTTAATTCAGAATCGAATTTTAAAAATTTAAAAGTAAATCTATGTATCCATCCTTAATATTGTTACATTTTTAAATACTTCAAACCTAATCACAAATCACAACTAACCCTCCGAAGTTTTGGTCGTTCCTATTAAAGTGTAAATCCAGATATACAAGAATTCTCTCTGGAATCAAATACCATGATGTTGCTTCTGATGATCCCCAGGAGATAGTCAATTTGTTTTCAAATTAGATTGAAATATGCTACAGTATAACTCCTATTTTTAAATCGGTTGATACTTATAAGTCATATGTTGAAAACTAATTTCAAATTTTGCAAAAATTATTGAAGTAATCCTCTATAATTGTCTTCCAAAAGACCAATTGTTCACACAATTATTAGTGTTGCCCAAATTCAGTCTTGGTCTTGCAGTCTTGGTCTTGTTCTTGCGTTTTTGCTAGACCAAGACCAAGAACAAGACCGCGTATTTTTAGCAAGACCAAGACCAAGACTGACCGTGCAAGACTTGAGCAAGAACAAGACATAGCCTGCAAGACTCTTGCGTCTTGCAGCTAGGACTTAGCGCTATTTCACTGAGTAGTTAGGTGTAACAGTTCGGTGTATAGGTAGGTACGCTTAGGAATTCTATGAGACGCAAAAAACTGTATCAAAGAATATGAAAAACTGGACCTATGCGCATTACGACTAATACCATAAACATAGCGAATAAAAAAATTATTAAAATCAAACTGAGTGCATGCATAGTTATGTTTTAACCATCGGCACTTTGATAA